ATATTTCCAGAGCTGAAAAAAAAAAAAAAAAAAAAAAAAAAAAACTCTTTCTTTTTTTCTATTAAATTGATGTCTTCACTTTGTTTACTTTGGAATGAAGAAACCCAAAGACTATGACTCATTCTTTCTAAAACATAAAACATATAATTCCTAGAATGAGTCATGGTCTATTTTTAGAAACAGTGAGACAACATTCCCACACAAAAGGGGGGTAGGGTTAATTTTTATCATGTCTAGAAGACATGATAAAAATTAACAAAAAGTTTTTTTTTTTTTTTTTACATCTCAGATTTTTTTTTCTGAGCTCTGAAATTTTTTTCCCAGTCGGCAACCAAGTGAAAATTTTTCAGCGAAGACGATTTGGCTTTTACTTTCACTTTCATCGCTTTTCTATAAAAGTATTCCACGTTTTCTATTCAGAACCGTGCGGGCTATCCAAGGGGCAGCATGCTTTTTCTCTTTCTCTATCTCATCTGGACCCAGGAACATTCTTCTAGAAAGAGCTTCTGTGAACACAAGTTTCTTTCCACTTTTTAATGTCTCACAGAATAGAAATCATTCTTCTGTTTAGGGGAAAATGTTTCCCTTTTGAAAAGCTAGGACCCCTCGTTTGGATTTCATCAGCAACCGTTTATCAGGTTCTAGCGAAATTGGATGATCCATCCATGAATCAGAATTTCCCATCCGTGGTTTGGATGCAACAAGATTTCAACATAGTTTAAGAAAAATCCTTCAATCCTATTTGAAAGGAGATGTCATGATATTGAAAGACACCTCAAACCATACCGTTGACGACGACGTGTGAGACACAAACCATGACATAAATTTCAGTTTCTATGACAGCTAACACGCTTGAGCTTTAAAAATGTATGAAAGAAGTTATTTTTAATCCATTTCAGCGATTGAGTGGGCTGGGAAAAAAAAAGGCCCTTTCCATGACAGCTAACACGCTTGAGCTTTAAAAATGTATGAAGAATTTGTTTTTAATTTAATCCATTTCAGCGATTGAGTGGACTGGGAAACATTTTCTTAGAGCTCAGGGGAAAAAAAAAGGCTCTTTCCATGAGAACTAACACTCTTGAGGTTTAAAAATGTATGAAAGAATTTGTTTTTAATTCATTTCAGCTATTGAGTGGGCTGGGGAAAAAAAAGGCCCTTTTCATGAGAGCTAACATGCTTGAGCTTTAAAAATATATGAAAAAATTTGTTTTTAATTTTTTAATCCATTTCAGCGATTGAGTGGGCTGGGAAACATTTTCTTAGAGCTCAGGGGAAAAAAGGTTCTTTCCATGACAGCTAACACGCTTGAGCTTTAAAAATGTATGAAAGAATTTTTTTTAATATCCATTTCAGCGATTGAGTGGGCTGGGAAACATTTTCTTAGAGCTCAGGGAATGTGTGTCTAGGTTGAATGCACAGCACACACGGATGGGAAGTCGAAACTCGAGTGGCTTTAAAAAAATAATATACGAAATTTGGTTCATCGAGCTGACTAGGAAAAATTCTCAGAGCTTCTGGAAATAATTCTGAGTTCAATCATGGGACATGAGAACAGAAATGTATTACAATCATCATGTCATCATTGTTTTCGAAAGCCAAAAAATTCCTCATGAAAGAACATCTTTTTTTCCTGGTTGTGGGATGGAGTAGAGATGCTGCATCTTGAACAACCCACACTGATCTGAACAGAAATATGAAATGTTTTTATAGATATAAGAAATGAACTTGAAAGTGAAAGTAAAAATGAAATTGTATTGGCTGGAAATATTTCTTGGCTGTTGAATGGGAAAAATATTTCCAAGCTGAAAAAAAAAAAAAAAAAAAAAACTCTTTCCTTTTTTCTATTAAATTTGATGTCTTCACTTTGTTTACTTTGGAATGGAGAAACCCAAAGACTATGACTCATCCTTTCTAAAACATAAAACATATAATTCCTAGAATGAGTCATGGTCTATTTTTAGAAACAGTGAGACAACATTCCCACACAAAAGGGGGTAGGGTTAATTTTTATCATGTCTAGAAGACATGATAAAAATTAACAAAAAGTTTTTTTTTTTTTTTTTTTTTTTACATCTCAGATTTTTTTTCTGAGCTCTGAAAATTTTTTTCCCAGTCGGCAACCAAGTGAAAATTTTTCAGCGAACACGATTTGGCTTTTACTTTCACTTTCATCGCTTTTCTATAAAAGTATTCCACGTTTTCTATTCAGAACCGTGCGGGCTATCCAAGGGGCAGCATGCTTTTTCTCTTTCTCTATCTCATCTGGACCCAGGAACATTCTTCTAGAAAGAGCTTCTGTGAACACAAGTTTCTTTCCACTTTTTAATGTCTCACAGAGTAGAAATCATTCTTCTGTTTAGGGGAAAATGTTTCCCTTTTGAAAAGCTAGGACCCCTCCTCGTTTAATTTCATCAGCAACCGTTTATCAGGTTCTAGCGAAATTGGATGATCCATCCATGAATCAGAATTTCCCATCCGTGGTTTGGATGCAACAAGATTTCAACATAGTTTAAGAAAAATCCTTCATCCTTGAAAGGAGATGTCATGATATTGAAAGACACCTCAAACCATACCGTTGACGACGTGTGAGACACAAAACCATGACATAAATTTCAGTTTCTATGACAGCTAACACGCTTGAGCTTTAAAAATGTATGAAAGAAGTTATTTTTAATCCATTTCAGCGATTGAGTGGGCTGGGAAAAAAAAAGGCCCTTTCCATGACAGTTAACACGCTTGAGCTTTAAAAATGTATGAAAGAATTTGTTTTTATTTAATCCATTTCAGAGCGATTGAGTGGACTGGGAAACATTTTCTTAGAGTTCAGGGGAAAAAAGGTTCTTTCCATGACAGCTAACACGCTTGAGCTTTAAAAATGTATGAAAGAATTTTTTTTAATCCATTTCAGCGGTTGAGTGGGCTGGGAAACATTTTCTTAGAGCTCAGGGAATGTGTGTCTAGGTTGAATGCACAGCACACACGGATGGGAAGTCGAAACTCGAGTGGTTTAAAAAATAAATATACGAAATTTGGTTCATCGAGCTGACTAGGAAAAATTCTCAGAGCTCTGGAAATAATTCTGAGTTCAATCATGGGACATGAGAACACAAATGTATTACAATCATCATGTCATCATTGTTTTCGAAAGCCAAAAAATTCCTCATGAAAGAACATCTTTTTTTCGTGGTTGTGGGATGGAGTAGAGATGTTGCATCTTGAACAACCCACACTGATCTGAACAGAAACATGAAATGTTTTTATAGATATAAGAAATGAATTGAAAGTGAAAGTAAAAATGAAATTGTATTGGCTGGAAATATTTCTTGGCTGTTGAATGGGAAAAATATTTCCAAAGCTGAAAAAAAAAAAAAAAAAAAACTCTTCCTTTTTTTTCTATTAAATTGATGTCTTCACTTTGTTTACTTTGGAATGGAGAAACCCAAAGACCATGACTCATCCTTTCTTAAACATATAATTCCTAGAATGAGTCATGGTCTATTTTTAGAAACAGTGAGACAACATTCCCACACAAAAGGGGGGTAGGGTTAATTTTTATCATGTCTAGAAAACATGATAAAAATTAACAAAAAGTTTTTTTTTTTTTTTTTTTTACATCTCATAATTTTTTTTTGAGCTCTGAAAATTTTTTCCCAGTCGGCAACCAAGTGAAAACTTTCCAATCGGCTTTTACTTTCACTTTCAACTCTTTTCTATAAAAGTATTCCACGTTTTCTGTTCAGAACCGTGCGGGCTCTCCATAGTGCAACATGCTTTTTCTCTCTCTCTACCTCATCTGCATCTAGGATGTTTTTCCTTCTTCAAGAAGTGGAATTCTTTGGGAATACCTTACAATTTCACGAGCTAGCTGTTTCTTATATTTCGAGGAGATTTCAATGAAATTGTTTATAGATGTCACCTATTGCAGATGGGGAAAAAGTCTATACTGGATCGCTGGAGACATCTCACCCAGATTGGTCACGTTATATTTTTTCCCACACCTAAATAAATTGGACATGAGCCATCCTTTTGTTTTCTCATCCAACAAAGATAGACACTGCAGACCGTTTTGGGTTTTCACTCTTCGCGAAACGAGACGAGCCGCAGCGCAGCGACACTTTGCGTTTTCTATGAGCGCAATAATGGATCACGTGAGCAGCCATTTTGTTTCCCATCTCACCCAGATAGGTCATGTTGTATTTTGTTTCATACACCTAGCCAATTTTGGACATGAGCCATCCTTTTTTTTTTTTTTTTTTTTCTATCGAACCAAGATGGACTCTGGAGACAATTTTGTTTCTCAACGGAAAAGTAAATTTTCTGAATGGGTGCCGGTGTTCGAATACTTTTGTGACCGACTGTACGCTGACTTCTATTTTCCAGGTGAAAGTAGTCGATATTTCAGCGACATCAAAATTTAAAAAGTGGAAGTAGGGTTTGTTTTGGTTTGGTTTGGTTTACTTCATTATGCAAAGCATACTAGGGCTATCTGCCTGAGGGATGCATTCGTGACCGCACTACCAGTGTTCAGCTACTTTACCGCTCGGCCGCTGGTTGGCGGAAGTAGGGTTTCGAGATGAGCATTTCTTGATATATGAATTAACCTGCTGCTGAAGACGGGGATTAGTGTTTTTTAGTATTGGTGTAGTCTAATTTTAGCTTTATTGAAGCTATGTTGCTCCAATAAAGCTATAAAATATTTAAGAGCTAATTTGCTTCAATAGAGCTATATATATATTTAATAAAGTGTTTAAAAGACAAGTATTTTTCTTTTAATAGCTGAAGGTAGTTTGAATATGATTGATGTCTGAAGAGGAAGATGTTTTAGATTGTATCCATTTTGATTAAAAATAAAATTTTAATAATACCCGGAGGATATAAAAGAAAAAAAAAAGAACTAGATCCTTGGAAGATGTATTATTATACATACAGATCGATCATTTTAAGGTCATAAGATTGTATATTGTAGATCACCTGATTTTGAAGTGTCGTTATTTTGCTTTCTTTTATTGGCAACGATAAACATTGTTTTCTAATCGCTGAGGAGCGCGTGTAATTTATTATAATATTGGAGATGTATTTTCGATATGTATATTTACTCTTTTGTTTCTGTGTCTAGAAGTTGAGATCGTAAGTACTTTGGAATTTTTTTCGTATGACTGAAAGCCTGTTTTATGTTCTGATATATTATATCCAAATTTCAAAGATATCGTATGGAAATTGTTTAATTCACATATACATTTGAATCCCAAAGCCAAAGTTGGTATTTTCTTCCTAGAAGAGCTATTAATTTCGTTTTAGCATTTTGCGTTGGTTAGCTATAAAAGTCTGATTCACTTTTGTTGCCTCCAAATATTAGAGTCGTGCATTATATTTAAAGAAATTAAGTAGTGAGAAATCTTCATGAACGTAGAATGTCTCACAAAAATGATCGGCCACTATACAGTGTCTCACAAAAGTGATGGAACACTTGTGCTTTACAAAATGAAGCTGTAGTAAAATAAATTAAAAAAACACGTAAAAATGTTTTGTGAATGTGTTTCATACTTAAATTTAGTAACAATTATTACATAACATACATTTTCTCAAAATATTAATTTAATAAAAATACAATTGTTTAGAACGAAGCAAAAAATGGCTCACATAAGTGATGGGACACTTACTTTCCCATCAAATATTTATTCAAAAATTTTAGTTTTTAAAAGGTTTTAATATTTTGTGGGATTTCCTTTTACTTTTGAAACATGATTTAATCTTCTTGGGATGGATTCGACTAATTTTTTTTTGTGATTTCTGGAATGATTTTACCCCATTCTTCTTGAAGCACCGATTTTAGTTGTTGTTTTGAAGAAATGGTGTGTTTGCGAATTCTTGATTCCAATTCTTGCCAAATATTCTCTATGGCATTTAAGTCTGCAGATTGTGGTGGTGTTTTTATTATTTCAGAACAGTTATACAGCAACCAGAGTCTAACGTTCAAAGCAGTGTGCTTGGGGTTATTGTCCTGGTAGAATTTAAAATCGTTATTAAGGTTCAATTTTCGTGCTGAAGATTTCAAATTTTGATTTAAAATGTCAATATACTTGTACTGATACATTATAGTGTCAATAAAAACAAGATTACCAACTCCAGCGGACGACATACACCTCCATACCATAACTCCTCCTCCACCATGTTTTACTGTTGCCACCAAATTCTGTTTGCGAAATTCTTCCCTGGGTTTTCTCCACACCAAGATTCTACCGTCAGAACCAAATATATTAAATTTACTCTCATCAGCAAATATAACTTCATTCCAGTAATCAGAATTCTTATTTATGTTGGATTTTGCGAAAGTCAGTCTGAGTTTTCTATTCTTTTCACTTACGAAGAATTTTTTCCTGGCTGCTCTACCATGATATCCAGCAATTCGAATTGCTCTTCTAATAGTCTCAGGATTAACAATTACTCTATATAATGCTTGCAAATCAGCAGCAACTTTAGGAGCACTCATTCTTGGATTTTTTTAATATTTCAAACAATAATTTGCTTTATTCCATTGGATAGCTTAGATGGTCGGCCAGGTCTTCTTTTATCCTGAATCATATGATTCTTTTTATATCATTTAATGATATTAAAAACTGTTGAATGACTCAAGTTAACTGTTTCAGCAGTTTCTCTAATAGATTTTCCACGTTCAACATGCAAATTAATAACTAATCTTCGAATTTCAGGCAAAGTTTCTTTTCGTTCAGCATTTATGGCTGCACAGAGCTAAAAAACACAAAAATTCCAAAAAAAAACTGGAGAGAAATACTGCAGACAATTTTATAAATTATTGCCAATTGCTTTTGAGTAAAAATAAAAACCCCCAAAAATATTTTTATTGTAGTACGTAGTAGTATCTAATGGTGTCCCATCACTTATGTGAGCCATTTTTTGCTCCGTTCTAAACAATTGTATTTTTATTAAATTAATATTTTGGGAAAATGTATGGTTTGTAATACAGTCAAAAGTCGTTAATCCGGACTCATCGGGACTTCGGCGATTCCGGATTATCGATTTTTCCAGATTATAGATCATCAGTTTAAATCTGGTAAGATGACATGCAGAAGTTACAAAATTAAAAATATGAAACCGTAATTTATGAAATAAAGAACAATTATGATCTAAAAGGTATCAAAATTTACAAAAAGAAAAAGCTTAATATTTATTTGTTTACTTTATTAAACATTTCTTTCAATGTAAGTTGTTTTGTTTTTTATGTGATAATACTTTCTCTTTAATTCTATTATACAGACATAATTTCTTGTTTAGTTACAAAGTTCCGCTGTTCAAGTCCTATAATTCCTGTGTTGAGAATACCGACTAATTTTTCAATCGAAATTTTTCCGTTTTCAATAACCTCTGTGTCTCTTTCTTTACTATCCAAAGCGAATTATAATGACGAGGAACTTGTTTTAAATCATATCAAAGCCGGAGTACATCGAGATGAAATACTACATTTAGTAAGGAATTATAAGCCAAATAAAATAAAAACATCTGCCCTGAAGATAAGGATAGTGCTGACAGATCAACTTCCAATTCATTCACAGCGTTCCTCCTGCCGAGCAGCGTGAAATTGATAAACAGATTTCGAAACATACTTTCGCTTTAGATCCTTTGCATATTAGCAAATATATATAGGAAATTCTATTTAATATAATCGAAAGTTCAAGCTCACTTTTATAAAATTGCACTAACAGACTGCAAAAAATAATAAGCTGGATCCAATTCGAAGATTAAGGAACAACGCAATCTGCAACATTAACTGAATTAGATAATTTTAGTTTAGCTTATACCGTCCATTATACATTAAATGCATATGCGTAAACGTTTTATGCGCATGCGCACACGCATATTCGCAGCCGTAAACGCCTATGCAACACATGCGCAGAAAGTTTGTAGCTTTGAGGTCTGAATTAACGACTTTTGACTGTAATTGTTACTAAATTTAAGTATGAAACACACCCACAAAAATTTTTACATGTTTTTTTTTTTAAATTTATTTTATTACAGTTTCCTTTTGTAAAGCACAAGTGTCCCATCACTTTTGTGAGACACTGTATATTTTTTTAAGCAGTAGGAGAAAAGGCTTTAAATAAAGTAATAAAGAATATTTTTTCTTTGAATGCATATTTTCTTAGCTCTTTCTCTGTACTAAATAAATTTGAAAAAATTAAATAGTAAATTTTAAAAATAGCGTTTTAGACTGAAATGGTAAAAAAAAAAAAAAAAAATTCTACAAGATTAATCGGACGTTTGCATAATTTCTAATTAAAACCGTCTGCAATAAAAAGTGAAATTTTATGGATAGTTTGGAAGAAGCTAGACAAAAATCTAAAAATTGTTTGCATTTAATAATTTGAATTTTCATTTTAGAAAATGTTCGTTATTTTGATATTTTCTTACAATGGCTCGGTCACGAAAGAAAACTTCGTTAGAAACCCGCAGTGATTTGCATCAAAAGAAAGGGAAATCGGAACTACTCTGATATGCGCCCTCAGATTCCACGCTGCCATATTGCTATCTAAATTTTTTGTCTACATTTCGAACTTCAAGCCTAAAATGTCTCCAAAAACGCGGTTTTCATGAATGCAGAAACCACGTTTTGAACACACAATTTAAGCTAAAAATCCGAAACAAAAACAAAAAATTTAGATGGCAAAACCGTTAAGTTTCTAACCAAAATTATTTGACAAAAGTCCATGAACGTAGCAATATGTCTTAACTTAAAAAAAAACATCTACGAATGGCACAATTTAGGCAACAAACGAATCTACGAACTACGCACACCTCACTTTAATAAATTAACATAACAGTAAATTTCAAAGAATACCATGTATACAGCTTTCTGTTTCAACTTTAAAAAACATCTACGAATTGCACAATTTAGACGGTACGCACTAATCAACAAGATAACTAAAATAAATTTCAAACAATTCAAAAAAAAAAAAAAAAACAACAATAACGACAGAAATTCATACTAAAAAAACAATGAACATAACATTCTACAAAATAAGAATAAAATAAAATGCACTTACCATGAATTAATGCCTTTTTCTAACAGTAGAAATACCAATTTAATACCGGCTTTAACATGCCGCCACGTAATCACTACCGTATTTATATGACAGCTAGACACACTATCCAGAAAATTCATACTATGGTTCACAAATAGATAAAATAACAAATAATCACAAATCCCTACTTCTATCATGCACAGCCACTAAAAATAATCTCTCAGACCCTCTTTCCACACCTTCAAATACCAGTGCCCCTCAACAGAATGGCCACGACGATATTTCCTTTTGCCGAACTTCAATTCAATAACTTCCACCATTTTATCTTTCCCCTCTAGCTTCTCAGACACAGAGCATGACGCGAACCAATGAACTCCAGCGAAAGATTTTTCAACGTCAACAGGGTTGCCATACAACACACAATCGTGCCAAAAACCAGCGCAGAACACATATCGTCACATTTGGTGGAATTAGGACATATATCAGAGTTGTACCGGGAAATCTATTAAAAATATTGGTTATGTATTTAAGTAATTTTACAGTTTTTTATATTATTAAATGTTATAAGATACAGAATTGGACTCAAAACGAAAGAAAACTGTTTTAACTTATCTGATGTAATGAAATACTTTATTCTAAGGAATACTGAAAAGACTCCAAGACTGAATGCTCCTAAACTTGTTGCAAAACTTTGTAAATTATATGAAAAATGTGTAAATCCATAAACTGTAAGAAGAGTAATGCTATCTGTATGAGTACGAAGAAAAAAATTTTATGTTGGTAAAAAAAAAAATCGAAAACTTCAACCCACTTTCACAAAATTGATGAAACAAAAGACGCCCAACTGCTGGAAAAAAGTGTTGTTTGCTGATAAAAGCAAATTAACATCTTTGGCTCAGATGGACGAGTGCTGTTGTGGAGAAAATCCAAAGAAGAATTTAGGAAACAAAACGTAGTAGCAAGTGTTAAACATGATGAAGGAGGATTTATGGTGTGGGGATCTGTGGCACATTCCATTGTTGGTAATATAGAGTTTGTAGATGGTATTATGGATTTGGCATCGTCAGCACAAAAACTTAATATACAGGATAGTTAAGACACAATAACGCGCCGAACAAATACCAATTCAGAAGTCAAACAACAAAAATCATCGCGTTATACCTACAAAATTTTCACAGGACTAGTTTCGATGGTTTTACCGAACCATCATCTTCATCAGCTGCAAAACCGCGCAAATGAAAAGATAGGAAATAATGATTAGATAAGATAAGAAAGCCTGGACAAGAATAAGCAAGTGGCGCCATCTGTTGGCGAAACCAGAACTAAAACATAATTTCTCTAAAGGCCGAAGCAAATTTGGATTGGAATTAGGATCGTTAACTAGAACAGAAAGATTTTTATGAATGTGAAATGCCTCTAGAAATCCAGTTCTCCAATGGAAGATGTTTTTTGAATAATTTTGGCAGCAGAAAAAATTGAAAGTGTGATTTTCGACGACAACAATGTCGAGCAACAGAAGACTTCTGTGTTTCCTTTTTTCTAACATATGCCTCATGTTCTTTGACGCGAAATTTTAAGGCTCTCTTAGTTTGGCCAATGTAAATTAAAAACCACACTGGCAAGGAATCCTATAAATACCCCAGGAATTCATATCCGGAATGGGGTCCTTGAGTATACAAGTTGGAATTTTATTGATGGGAGAATAAACAACCCGAAAGTTAAATTTCTGCAAAATATGTGCAATTTTATAGCTAATTGATGGAAAGAAGGGAATGACAAACAGAATTTTTATAATCTCCTAAAATAAGAGTGTGGCTTTTAGTGTGTTGAGATGAGAATTTTTTAATTGCTTGATTAATAATGTTGGGTGAAAAGCCCCTGTCAATAGCTATTGCTTTTAAATAATTTAGTTCTTCATCAAGGGCTAGTTTGGAGGAGCAAACTTGAAGAGCACGGAAAACATAGGAATAAAATGAAGCTAACTTTTGTTTAGTCGGATGACATGATTTAAAGTGTGGTGGAAGGCAAACAGATGAAGGTTTACGGTAAACTGTAGTCTGAAGTTGGATGTGTTACATGTGACCAGAATGTCGAGAAACGGAAGAGAATTGCAAGTCTCAAGTTCAAAAGTGAACTGAATAGCAGGATCAATAGAATTCATTGTTGAAAGAACTTTATTTAAATCATCTTTATTACCTTCAAACAGGGTAAAAGTATCGTCTACGTAGCGGAACCATGCCGGGAAGTTTAAAGTTTCAAACAATTTTGATTCATAATAATGCATGTAGATATCAGCCAGGATGGGACTGAGGGGGCTTCCCATGGCTAATCCCTCAGTTTGCTTGTAATATTTATTTTGGAAAACAAAATGTGTTTGTTTCAAACAGAGTTGAGTGAGAGAAATTAGCTCATCAATTTCGATGCAAGAGAAATGAAATTCGCGAAGTCTGGTTTCTAGACATCTTAATGCACCCTCCACTGGGACATTGGTGAATAATGATTTTACATCAAAAGAAACCATGAGTAAATTACTAGGAGAAATGTTTTTAACCTTTTTTACAAACTCTATTGAATTTTTTATGGTGTAAATGTTATTGTCTAATAGAGTGGAAATCTAGAAACTAAATATTTAGCTAAAGGATACGAGGCAGTACCTAAATTTGATACAATAGGGCGGAAAGGAATACCACTTTTATGAATTTTGGGAAGAGCATTTAATCTGGCACAATTCGCAACAGATGGGATAAGCGAATGTTTTAAGTTGCTTGAAATGATTTGCGAAGATTTGATCGCAGTTTTTATTTTGGATAAGTCCGAAGGTGAAGGATCTTTAGGGATCGGATTATATGGTCCTTCGTTTAAGAGTTTAGTGACACCATTGATGTAAGTGTTCTTATCCATGACGACTATCTGGCCACCTTTGTCGGCCTTTGAAATGATAATATCCGGGTTAGAATGAATTTCGCGAATTGTAGCTCTTTCTCTCGCAGTTAGATTTGATTTCAAAGGTTTATTATTGAATTTCACATTATGAGCGATAAGATGCCTAATGATTTCTTTCTGTGAATCTGATACTTTACTGAACTTGAAAGCCTTTTCGATAGGAGCCAAAATCTTTGGAATCGAGGGTTTACAGGTTTGTGAGAAGTTTCTAAAATATAATATAATAATCCGAAAATCACACTTTCAATTTTTCTGCTGCCAAAATTATTCAAAAAACATCTTCCATTGGAGAACTGGATTTTCTAGAGGCGTTTCACATTCATAAAAATCTTTCTGTTCTAGTTAACGATCCTAATTCCAATCCAAATTTGCCTTCGGCTTTTAGAGAAATTATGTTTTAGTTCTGGTTTCGCCAACAGATGGCGCCACTTGCTTATTCTTGTCCAGGCTTTCTTATCTTATCTAATCATTATTTCCTATCTTGTTCATTTGCGGCTTTGCAGCTGAAGATGATGGTTCGGTAAAACCATCGAAACTAGTCCTGTGAAAATTTTGTAGGTATAACGCTGATTTTTGTTGTTTGACTTCTGAATTGGTATACAGGATAGTTTCAAATTCTACCAGGACATTGATACTGCACAGTATTAGACTGGCTGTTATATAAGTTTCCAGAAGTAATTAAGGCACCACCCCAATTGCCAGATCTTTGAATTTATTTGTCAGGAACTACGATTCAAAAATTTTAAAATAGACCATATCCTCGCAGCAGGAACTGAAAGCAGTGATTCAAGAGGAGTGGCATAAAATAAATCCAAAAATAACCAAAAGAACTTGTGGAGTCAATGCCCAAAAAGATTAAATGAAGCGATCAAGTGTAAAGGTGTAATCTACACTTTTTACACACTTACATCTTTACATTAACATTGCATGCATCTTCAAGCATGGATATTTTATGTGGGAGGTTTCTTTACATTTCTTACTGGTATTATGTCAGTAGCATAGCTATGAAAAGACGTCACAATGTCTAACGGTAATTTTCGTTAAATGGCTTTGAATGTCTATCACTTTTCAAATCCTGTTTAGAGTTCCCCATGAAAAAAAATCCCTTTGGGCGTGATATAAAATCTGAAAGATTTCAGGTTTATTTATTTTTATATTTGAAGTTATTTCGAATCATGTTATGTACTAAAATATATGCTATTAATGAATCTGTAGGTGGTTTTTAGTGAAATGTTTAATTCTTTATAGTCTTTTGTGATTAGTGAGAAATGTAGTAACTTGTTAAAGTATGTAATAAACTTTAATATTTATCCTGAAGAGTCAATGTATACAATAAGAAAAAGACTTTAAGAATTACAAGAATAAAAGAAGAGTATGGTGTGCTTCCAAGAAATATATAAATAATCGAAAAGGTTTTGAAAAAGGAAATTGATCGTTTTGTAGTTTCTTCTTTAGGAGTATGTATAAGAAACTATAACAGCATTCCACATTTTTATAAAAGTTTTAAGCTTTTTTAAAGGATTTTTAGGAGTATTGTGTTATTTCGTAACATTGTTAAAATGTATTTGAACTACATAAATTTTTAACTTCAGTGTTAAAACATTTTAACTTATATATTATTTAAATATGCATTACTCATTGCTAAATAAATGCTTGTTTCATTTAGTAGTGTTTGGATGAATTCTTTAGTGGACACTAAGAGTAGTTTTCACATTATAATCATTCTTGGTAAAAGTATATTTACCTTGGTGAAACTTGGCGATTTTTGGCGGTACATGGATACCGAGTTTGTGCAATTCTTTGACTTGTTATTTTGGCTTGTGTAGCCAAAGTAATTACATTCTTTGGCTTAATACATTCTACATTAATAAAATACGTTCTTTGAGTTGTTATTTTGGCTCGCCGCTACACAACGCCAAAATAACAAGACAAAGAATTTCACAAACAACTTGGTTTCCATGTGCACATTGACCTATTTTCACTTTAAAAAAAAATCCCAGAATTGCTCAAAAATGGCATTGCACATTCCCTTGACTTTATCCTCGTACATATTGAATTATATTCACTTAAAAAGTCAAAGGAGCAGCCAACAAAAAATATATAATCTCAATTAACTACATTTTAAACCAAACAATGAAATAACATAAAAAAGGAAATTCATCTTTGCACTACACATGAACTATCCACTTACCTTATTTACGAATTAATACATCTTCAGTCAAACAAAATTCCTTAACAGCATCCAAAAACTTCCTAAAATTATCTGAACTGGAATTTGTATACTGCCGTTGCCACATAAATTCACAAAATAATAGTAAAAAATATCGTCTGTAGAGACGTTTGACTGTACGCATTTCTGACGTTCAACCATACGCATTTCCTTCCTACAGACAGGACACCTAATAATGGCTACTAAGTAAACCTTCATTTACACACAAGTCAAGTAATGTTCTTTTCCCTTTCTTTTCAAATTGATCTTACTACATTCAGCCATTTTATCGTCTAAACCACAAAGCAAGCAATATACTTCCTAACCAACACACATACACCACAAGCCTTTACGAATTTACTGCAATCTTGCAACCGATTACATCATAATAGGGTTTCATAACATTCAACTACTCAGGCTACCATAAATGAAATAACAACATGGCGATAAATGAAACAACTTCATGATAATACGAGGGGTACCCTTCTCTCTAACCAAATTCTTTAGTGAACACTAGAGTAGTTTTTGCATTATAACTATTCTTTGCCGAGTGTCTATTGAGAATGGGAGTATATATAAATTGAAATCATCACATTTTTCCCCCCTCATAACAATCATTATCTCAAAATAAAATTTAAAAAAATTATTTAATGTCTTCTCTACAAACATTTTACTCATTTCTAAAATAAAAGCTATTGTTTAGTGATAGAAAATATAAAAAAAATATATAATGATAAAGAAATATAAATATTTGATTCATAAAAGACTAAATAAAGAAATATAAATATTTTATTCAACATTTTATATCCTTTCTAGATGAATGCTGTAATAGCAGTATGTAACTTTTGTGAATTACATGGACCAAGTGTACTCTTCTGTACACAAGCTTTTCATGATAGTGAAGAAGAACAATGGACTCAAGTAAAGGCAGTAGAAAGTTTTAAATCTGATGTGTCACCAAAAGCATGGTATGGTCCATCCTTCTTTTCTCAACGGGCATCTGCTGGAAGCTCAGAAACTGGTCTACCACCTTTAAAGTCAGACAGCTGTGAGGTTAGTATTGATAAAACAGTATATTAAATATATTTTTTTTAAATACCAGAAAAAATGTAGAATTTTGCATTTCAATATTGACTCTTAGTTGCACACATGCATGTATAAAGTAAAGAATATGCAAGATAAAACTAACCTTAGCTTATAATAGCTCCTTAATTCTCTTTTTAATGCCTTGTACATAGTAAACAAAGTATTGTAATTGTGAAAAGTTTCAAATATCAGATTTCAACAGAAATATTCATTTTTACCATTCTTGAATGCATTTTGATGATTTTTTGCATGACATATGAATGTACAATACATATTAAAGGACTCTATTCCTAAACAGATTGTAAAATAGATTTTTTGTTATGTCTATGCATACGTACGTATCTCGCATTACTCAATGACATCAAAAATTGCATATTTTCAATACAATCGAGTTATGCAATATGTCATTTTCAAATTGGTTTAAGGGATTAGTCAGTGAAGTTAGAATCATTTGAAAAAATAGATTTAAATAAGCATAGAAACAATGTGTTTGTGTGGTGTTTGTTCACAACAGTTTTAATTAGTTATTATCCTTTATATCCTAAGAATAATGATATGGTGGTAAGAAATTTTCTAAATTGCATGATTTCAAAGTTAAACTGCCATATGATTTTTATATAATAATTATGAAGCATCTACTTATGTATTGGAAAATGTACTTTGACTAACAGTAATGTTAAATTTTTGAAATAGCTTGCATACAGTACACCAATGGTAATTTTTTTAGCTTGGTGACCAAAAAATGTTTCCAAGCTGTTAAAAAGCATTAAGAAACAAGTTTTAAATATTAAAATTAAAAATGCAAGTTAGAATGCATGACTTAAACAGTAAAATTTAAAATGCTAGTTTAGAATACATGTTTTAAGTTTCAAGTTTATGTTTAAGGGTAGGGTACTTTTCTGTTTTGGTGAGTTTTTTAATTGTAAACAATTTGTAGATATAAGTTGGTATTATAAATTGCGTTTATTATTACAAAGAATCTTTTTCATTCTTAGTCCTTTGCACTCGAACTTTTTTCGCCTAAAGCTTTCAGCAACTCTGACTTTTTTTTGCTGTATCTGGATATGTAATGTGTAATTTATTTGAAGGTAAAATTTGCATATAGTATTTAAAAGGCAAGATATTTTTAATGTTATTTTATTATTATCATAATGTGAATATTTTGTAAATGAAAATTTTAATTTTAAATTATAACGCTATCTAAATTTTCTGATATTTTTTCATTACTTTAACTAGAATTACTGTAATGCAATACTTTTTTTTTTCACTGGTAGAATAATGTTCCTGTCATCAGAATCACTTTCATATTCATCATCATTGCTATTTTGAAACAATGCTTCTTCCTATTTTGAAACATTTTTTGCCATGGTGAATAGTATGTTTTTTGTTTTTATCCACCAAACAAATGACTAGATACTGAAATCAATGAAACATTAAATAACATGCAACTAAAATTTAACTGTAAATTACAATCATGTGATCTTCAGTGCAGCATATTTTTAATGTGCCTGCAGAGCTGAATATAGACCTAATAAGGCCATAAGCTATTTGAGATATGATGCCTTTTATAAGTCCGTTAAAGTAAATCGTAATACTATATATTATATTTTAGTTTTTGTGGGGGAGGGGCTCAAGAGAGTGTAGGCCGTAAGTTATAGCTTGTATATAAATTCTGCACCGTGTGCCTGAGAGGCACATTTTGAGTACAATGGCAAACTTTGATAGTACCTGTGAGGAGTATTTTGAGTGCAAAGGGTTAATTACTAAAAAAACATAAGCTGAAATTAACGAGGGCATTAAATGGGAGACATAAATTTACAAATATCCACTAGCCTGGCAGAAAACGTTTTGGCCTTTGGATCTAGGTGATGCCATACGAGTTCTACTAAGTGGTAGTCATAATGTTAAAGTGCCTCTTTGACATTTGTTCCGAAATTTATGGCTGACCTCAAAACATTCGATAGATTGGGTATGATAATCAATGACTGGGTCAATAAAATTAAATGAGTGATTAATTGTGAAGTGATCATATCGTGCAGTTTTCAAATCAGATGATTTGTAACCTTTCCAGTAGTCTGAGAATATTGTTGTTCCATCTGCTATATTATTCTGCATTATGTCTATTAAAGTCATAGCTGAGTGATCTGAAATAGGGATTAGGAAGCATTATCTTCTTTCTCGATAAGAGCCTCCTGGAGGTAATACATGACCTACATTATATTTCCTTTCTGTGAACAAACTCTCAATGATTTTTCTCAGTATGACCAATTTTAGTCTTAGGATGAGACATCCAAGAACTGCAACAAACATCTTGGAGATAATTCTTCCAGTCCACCGCCATGCTGTGATTTAACCCTTTTTGTCTCAATAGGCACATACGTCCCAGAGATTAGATTTCATGCTTTATTGGGTAAATATAATCCACTTTTAAATGGGATTTTACATTTGCAGTGCTTTTAAGAAATTAGTGAACAACTATGGGACTAAGAAACCTGGCTATACTTTAGATTGCAGATGGCATACTTATGTTTTGAGCACGCCAATTACTCAAGTTTCGATTTGTCTATTTTTTTTTTTTTTTTAATTTCACAGTAAGTACAATCAAATTTAAGGCATACATAGTATCAAATAGTTGTTATTGTTCTTATTAAGTAGTAATTTAACATTTTTAATGTCAGATTTAAGAAATTTTGAATAAATTCTTTTTGTGGGATGTATCATCCCAATCGTATTTAACAGTGCGGTTAATATGTCCCATCAGTGATAAAAATTACTACATGTATTATGTTTGTATTTATGAAACAAAACAGTGTACACAGCGATATGTTTTAACTTAGAAAAAAGCATGTATAAATGGCACAATCTAGGCAACGAACGAATCTACGAGCTACGCACCCCTCGCTTTAATAAATTAAGATAACAAAAATAAATTTCAACGAATACCATGTATACAGCATTCTGTTTCAACTTTAAAAAACATCTACGAATTGCACGATTTAGACGGTACGCACTAATCAACAAGATAACTAAAATAAATTTCAAACAATTCAAAAAAAAAAAAAAAAAAAACAATAACAACAGAAATTCATACTAAAAAAACAATGAACATACATCTACAAATAAGAAAAAATAAAATGCACTTACCATGAATTAATGCCTTTTTCAACAGTAGAAATGCCAATTTCATACCGCCTTTTAACATGCCGCCACATATCACTACCGTATATATGACAACAGACACACTATCCAGAAAAATTCATACTATGGTCACAAATAAATAAAATACAAATAACAAATCCCTACTTCTATCATGCACAGCCACTAAATAATCTCTCAGACCCTCTTTCCACACCTCCAAATACCCACTGCTCCTCAACAGGATGGCCACAATGATATTTCCTTTTGCCGAACTTCAATTCAACAACTTCCACCATTTTATCTTTGCCCCCCCCTATCTTCTTAGACACAGACGCGAACCAACAAACCAACAAGCATGACGCAAACGAGCTCCAGTGAAAGATTTTTCAATGTCAACAGGGTTGCCATACAACACGCAATAGCACCAAAAATCTGCGCAGAACGCATATCACCACATTTGGTGAAATTAGGGCGTATATCAGAGTTATACTGAAATTTATATATATATATATAAACTAGTGCATGTGACAGAGTTTACATTTTGTAATATTCACATTATATATTACTGTAAATTCTAGTATTGTTTTCTGAGAAAGAGTAATATCCTTTACGATTGGGACATATTGCCGCAGGAGATTTCCAGGAAACAAGAAAAGTTAAAAACTTTAAACTCATATAACCCTTTAGTATATCAACATTACATTAAGCTACTTTTCATAGTTAAATTTTAATCATGCAAAAATCCAGTTGAAAGGCTTAATTGAAGCTGTCATTCGCAAAAATCAATGAAAATCAGCTTTTTGCACCACAAATAAATAGTTAGACTGGAGAGAAACGGAATGCGCAAGTTCTCAAACCTTATTTGAACACACTCTTTCTTTATGGATAAGACCTTTCTTTACCTTACCACTTGTTCGTGCTCAGTAAATCCCAAATTTTCAAATTCATTGCAGTAAAATAAAAAGAAAAACTAAATATACAAACCAATGAACTTGAAACAAATGAACAATGGAGAAGTGATTTGACAAATGGTTTGGTTCCCAGATGCAGATGAATAGTTAAAAAATTTCAATTAATTAAATTTTCAAATGTTAAGAATAGCAATTTTTGTTGTTGTTGTTGCTTTATTATGCACCTGCCACATTTTTCGGTGCATGGCAGGTGATAATCTGTTTCTCATCCTCTGCCATGCCATTTGTATTCCTCACTTTTAAACTATCATAATAACTGGAAAGTACCAGATTCTAATAACTAGAAATTAAAAAATACCTGATAAAGTACATGGCAACATGCTTTAAGCATGGTATGAAAAGTAAGAAAATTACCCATGCTTTAAGCAGTAATATTAAAAATATGAATTTAGAATACATGTTGTAAGCAATAAAATTGAAAATACACATTTAGAATACATGTGTAAATTAACATTTTTTAAAAACAAAGTGAGATAGAGAAAGAAAGTAAATCTGTTTTCTGATCGTGTGTTGGCAAGAAGCTTTTTACCTGCCTCCACGTACTATCTGTTGTATTTGTATGGATTCCTGTACCTGAATCAACAAAATTCAAGCTATTATTTACCTTTCAATGCTTAAAAACCTTCCCTTGTTTAAGAAGTGCACATCTGCATATCACTAACCATTTGTTTCTCATTAAAGCAGAAATGTGCCAATTAACTTTTGTCACCAAGGATTCCACAACATAATAGTACCAATTTTTCTCGTAGTTGAATATAATTTTTTATCTTTTTGTGTAATTAGGTTTTATTATTATATAGTAAAAATTTATTCTTTAACAAAAAAATTGTTTCTTTCCAAGAGTTGTGCATTAAAATATTAAAATATCTTAGGGTTGCACCTCTATGACAAGTAAAAAACGTGGATATATAAGTAACGATCATGAATCTCGAGTGAGTTATGTCAGCAGTCAGTATCCGTTGCATCCTGACGTTTTCAGTGCCGTTCGACAAGCCTGCGTTCGAAGTCTTAGCTGTGAAGTAAGTGAGATGTAATACTTACCTCAACTGATAAATTTATACTTTTTATCTGTAGTATTTTGTATCATATTTGATGATTACAGAAAAGGTCTTTATTGTCATAAATAATATTGTTGAATTACATCTAGATCAATGGTCTTAAAATGTATGTAGGCACGACGGAAAAAACAGCTGATACGCCAGTTTTTTCGTTGGCAAAATAAAAATTTTTTATCTAAAATATAAACTAAATTAAAAATTTTTTTTATTATATATTTATTAAAGCGTATATAAACAATTATAATTATGCAGGAAAACAATTCAAATTTATATTTATTTTCTATTTGAAATTAAGAATTTGGTGCCTCAAGACATTTTTGTTGATTACAAATTTGTAATTACAATTACAAACACTTTGACAACTAAATAAATTTTAGACACTTATTTCAAATAACTTAATAGTTTAATTAATCATTAAATTACATTAGGCAAATTATGAAAATTTTCCAGGTTGAACAAAACTGGAGAATAAATGATGAAAATTTAGTTTCTCTTACTTATTAAATTCTTCGACTTATAAATTAAAATACATATGTTTGTATGCAAATAACTATAAACTTTTTTATTTCGTACCACAGTGTGACTCTTGATAGCATTTCGATTCTCATAGAATTTGCAGCCTTGAAGAAAAATGACTAGAAATTATGTTCATTATGGACTATAAATGCTCATTGATCAATTGAAATCTTTTCCTAATATTTTAACTTGAAAGAAAGGTTTCACATATAAATGTGTTCCCAAATAAATAGTTTTGCACAGTTATTCTTATTCCTAGTGCAAATTCAAGGTGTTTTTTTTTTTTTTTTTTCAGTATGAATAAATTTAATCAAATCTATATCTTTAAATCTTTATAAGATTTATATCTCATTGTAAATCAGTTAGCACAGTTTATAAATTTTCTTGTATGTTATTCATCTTTCTTTTAATACTAATGAAAATAGCGTAAAATAAGACTTCAAATAATTAAAATTTTGAAATCTTTGCAGCACCATTTTTGCAACAAGTATGTAATACGAAGTTGTTTGTCTTATGTTTTCCACTGGTCTGTTTCTTCCATTTTAACCATAGTGTATCTATTATTGGAAAAGTTAAACAACTAGAATCAGCATAATGTTTGTAAGTTTTGCAGAATTAGTTTCAGTAGTTTAAATATAGAGCCATCTTTTTCCGCTGCCATAGGGAAAATGAACTAGATAGATATGGTGGCAAGATCAGAATGACTGGACAGAAGTCAAGCTACTGACACCATCTGTTGATGAAACAAGAAAACTATAACATGATTACCTTAAAGCTGAGGCTAAAAGTGGATTGGAATTAGGGTTGTTAACTAGAACTACCTCTAGAAATACCTCTCTTCTTTTTGTCTAAGACTGGGAAAATTTTATACACTTTGTATTAGCATAACATAGAACTAAATTGTTGATTAGATGTAAGATCATAAGAATCATAAAATCATAAGAAAGATGAAGATTTGGTAATAGGAGCTGAAACTACAAAAGTAGGGGAAGAACTTTCAGAAAAAATAAGTTTTATCTTCATGTTAGAAGTTACTTCTGTTGAGTATGTGATTACATACTACATTCAGGGTTCATACGGTCCTTAAGAGTCTTTAAAAGTCCTTAGATTTTTTTTGGAATCAATTTTTTGTCCTTAAAAGTCCTTAATTTTGGCCAAAATCCGAAGAAGGTCCTTAATTTTAAGCATCTGAAGTTCCTGTCCATTTTTATGACCGACGATTTTGAGGAATATTTTTAGCGATTCACTGCTGTTATATGGCTATCTTTAAATGGGTTCATGGTTAAATTTGTTTATTTTCTAATATAAATGATGGGATACTCGAGTTTTAGCAAGAGTTGAAACAAACTTTTTGAAATTCATTTTTCTAGTAAAGAGCTCTTAACAACTTTTCGCTTGGGTATGTGAATTCTTTTATTAAACTTCTAAATTTGGCGATTTTCAACATTTGGCGATTTAAGATTAGTTTCTATAGAAACTTTTTAATTCTGAATCTGAGATTTTCGAAAATTTTTTTTAAAACATCGTAACATTGATAAATTTCATTAAATAATGGTAAGATATTGAAATTATATTTAAAAAATACATTAAATAAAATTTTTATTTTTGGTATTATAAAGTTTCATTTTGGAACTTATTATACAATATAAAAAAAAAGGTATAATGCTATAAAGCACAATTACGAAACATCTCTTAGCAAAAGCAAAAATTAGCTATGTAATT